CGCCCACAAGGGGCGGGGTTTGGGCGAAAATTCATAACTCCGATAAAGGTCTATAATGAAAATCAGCTCATATGGCTCCGTTTCTTATGGCTAGAGCCCCGCGACAGCGCGACGACAGCATGCGTAGCCGCCTGGTTATACATAATTTAATTGGAATCCCGGCTTACGATTCTCTGGGTGTCCATATGCAGGGGTCATCGCTAGGTCAGAATCATATGCCAAACTTTATGCGCACGGAAGCCTACAGTGTACCGGAAGCTTCCTCTTGATTATCGACGTCTTTGAGCAACATTGAATAATAAATAGTATGATTTTTATCATATCGTGTTTTTGCTAGAGTCGTTCACGAGGATTGCCCATATTATTGGTTTACCCGCTTCGTTACGGTGTTCGGCTTTTTTGCGACTGACTGGCCCTAAACAGTAAAATAAGCAGAACCAGTCTGACTATAATTGGACTGCAGAACCTTTAGGGAAAATCAGAGTACCGGGCCAAAAATATCGGACTGAAAAGAAATATGCTGTGAATAATAAGAACAAACTACTTTTTGCAACTTACTCATGTAATTATATTTTTAGTCGCTTATTTGTTGCATTCATTTTTTTCTGTTGCACATGGCCTAGGCACATGAATGAAGGTGGAATGGCCAATGCTGTTCACGTTGAAAACTCATAAGGTATTAAGTAAGCGAGGGAACATGAGTGGACTGCATGGTGGTTTCTACTAGAGTGATTTCTTCAGCGGTTCTATGATCGGAACTTGCTGAATGCCCTAGAACTTTATCAGTCGATTGAGAAAACAACCGTTTTTCCCACTTAAATAACGTTGTTTTGGCTGTATAAAGTCGCAAATCTTTTCGCTTTGAACACCTTGAGACAGTTCCAATTGGTAAACAGCGTTTTTGACGATTACTCATCGGCCAATGGCCTTGTCGTCGGCTTTATGCTCATCCGCCCCAAATGAAGGCCGGCTCTTTGGCGTTAAACGACGAACGACAGAACGACGTGCGACTTTTATGCGTAAGAAGAAGACGCAGCTCTTACGTTAATCGAGGCGGCGTCTTGTCTTCTCGTTTTGTGTTGGGATGTCCGGTAGTGATAGCGTATCGCCTATACATCAACTTAAGCTGGTTTCACCCTTGTCTCAACCAGCATCGCTTGTTCCACTTGTCGGGGTCAAACTCGGGTACTCGGTACTATCTACACTGCGCTTTCACATAAACAAAAGCTGGTTTTAACTATTCATTCTCTCTCGTACATCCAAGCTGTCGGTATTAGTTACCAGCCGCTCCACTGGTAACGCCACCGCCTTCCGCTGCTGTGGTAACAGCCAGTCGCCCCACTCTATCAGCTATCCTTCTGTAGCCTGTTTAACAGTACTCACAGTATACATTTACGAGTAGGACCTCTTCAGTGATAATCTTATGTGCCTATTTTTTTGAAAGTCGCAATCAGGATGTGACATAAGATTTTGCACGCTGTGATAGGTGAAAAGGAATCTTTTTTTTGTGTGTCGTTCCGGTTTTACAAAAACTTTCCCGCTAACTCCATTAGCGCAGCATTTTGCATCGTTCTTGTCATTTCGTGCGTCACGGCTATAAGTGACGACGAGCAGCTCGATAGGTTGCCTAACTGGCTCTCT